AACGCAGCTCGGAACAACTGTTAAACATTAACTCCCTTGTTTGCTCCGTATTCCCTGGCCGGAGCCTCCTGCCAGCGCCGGGCTCCAGGAGCATTGCCAGGACAGCTCACACAGCCGTGGTGGGCACGGGGCGGGCATGGGGCAGCCCCACGGCCGCAGAGCTGAGCCAGGGCCGTCCCCAACAGCGCTTCAGCTGTGCTGGGCCCTGGCCACAGGAGACAGAGCAGCAGCCGTGAGTGTGTTCAGGAAAAGCACTCCAGTGCCTGTTTATTGGGGAGGGCAGACAGGGGCCATGGGCTCCTCCAGCAGCCTCCCAGCAAGCCCAGAGCAGTGGGAGCCTGCGTGGCCAGGCAGCTCCTGCTGCCCTTCCTCTGCAGAGCTGGCACTGCAGCAGCAGCCAGGGCTTGGGAGGAGGTTTGGGGCATCCACAACACCACACCACTCACTCCTGCCACCGTGGACAAAAGCTCAGGTGGAACACGGCTCCAAGGGCAGCTGCAGCCTTGTGCTGTGGGCAGCCTTGGCCAGCACTGTCACCCTGTGTGCACTGATGATGGGAAAGTGGTGGATGCCCCATCCCAGAGGAGGGAAGTGGCTGTGGGCACCCCACAAGTACACAGGGTGACATCCAGGATGAAATGAAAAAATCACTCCCTGGGGCTGTCTTTCAGAGGCTTTGAGTCCTCCTTTGACAGTGCTGCAGTGCACTGAGCTTCTCCCAAAACCCGACCCCGAGCACAGGACGCCCTGGCAGGGGCAGGGCAGGTCCTGCTGTGGGACAGAGCCCCTCTGAGTGCCCACCCCAGACCAGCAGCAGCCCCTGGCCCATCAGAGCCCGCCAAGAGGCGGTGCCAGGCTGAGGTTGAGGAAGCCCCCAAAGTGGAAGGGGGGCAGGCGGGGGGCACAGGTGGCAGCAGAGGACAGGCAGGCAAGAGGATTGGCCCCACATGCCCCGAGATCCTGTTCACTGCTGAAGTAGACACTGTCAGAGGAATCCACTGAGGGGTCCTCGTTGAAGTAGTTGTAGGGCCTCAGGAAAAAGCCAACACCGTTCCCCACAGTCACTGTGTTGGGGATGTCTTCAGCATGAGGGACATGCAGGAACCCCACAGTGATCCAGGCAACCAAGTCCTGCGAGAAGAGGAATCTGTCAGGCTGAGCAGGACTCTGCCAGCCCATCAGCTGCTCAGTCTGGCTCTGGGATGGCTGCAGCTTCTCTCCAGGGCAGGAGCCAGGATGGCCTGACAAGGTTCAGCTTCTCTCCATCCCAAGGACCCCAGCTTACCTCATTGGTGATGGTCTCGTTGTTGATGAAGTCAGCAAAGGCCACAGTGGGCGTCCAGGGGTCATTCTGGTTGTAGACACTGGTGCTGGTGGGCTCCTCCTCCTTCCTTCGGGTGACAGCCAGCTGGTACCTGCCAGCACAGGGGTCAGAGGGGCTTGTCCATGCCAGCCATGGCATTGCCAGCTGGGATGTGCTGCCAAACTGGGGCTGCACATGCCCGGTCTGCCCTGGGGCAGGGAGGGAAAGGGCCAGAGGGCAGTAATGGGCAGCAGCCCCAGTATCTCCAAGCTTTGTGGGGGATCCTTTTCTGCCTGTGGCTTTTCTAGCATGGATGGATCCAGGTGCAAACGCTGCCATTCAATGCCCAATGCACTCCCTGAAGCCACAGCTACTTCCCCAGAATGAGATCCATCAGTTCACCCTGGCAGTGAGACTGCTCTGTGCTTATCCCAAGCATTTTCCAAAAGGCATTCTGTCCTCCTGGGAAGATACCACAATCTGGCAATGCCAGTGCTTCCCTTAGGAATTCATTCTGCAGCCTACTTCCCCTCAAATGGGCCTACAACCCCCTGCAACAAGGGCCTCAGACTCCTGCCTGTGAACTGTCATTAGCAGATGTTATTGAGCAACATCTCAAGGAAATTTCAGAGCCAAAAGCTACAAATGTTTGCTGTTTAACCCTCCCCTGCCTGGTGCAGGCCTGCCCAGGGGTGAGAGCCTCCCTCCACCAGGAGCAGGAGCAGCTGAGGCCTCACCTGCCCCAGCTGACAGCTCGTTCCATGGAGCTGTTGGTGGGCAGGTGCTTCCCAGCAAAGCTGATGATCTGGATCCGGTAGCTGCGTGGGTGCTCCCACTTGTTGGGATTGGGGCTGACAAAGGAGAGGTAGCGGGGCATGGGGACATTGAGTGGGAATGCTGCCTCATCCTCCTTCTCCAGCCTTTCCCTGCGGAGGTATGGCTGCTCAACGGTGTTCTGTGTGCTCCAGGGATCTTTGACAAACTGGTACTCCATATCCTGGGTCTCCAGGGAGTTCAGCTGCCCTGTGAAACCGAAGAGAAAACCCTCTCAAGCTCTGCACCCCTGGCCACAGTAAACCACAGCCATGCACAAAGGTGGCCAGACCTACCGTCAACATCCAGGTCCACCTTGTAGTGGATGTGGTGGAGGTGCATCGTCCCCAGCGTGTGGGGCCCAACCCTGTTGCCATAGTCAGTGCCTCGGCCATGGAAGAAGGAGGAGCTGATGTAGCCAGTGGCGTGCACCCGGACCTCCACGGCCCCGCTGGCGTGGAACATGAAATCCCAGATGTAGTCATAGTTAATGAGTGTGGAGATGGTACGGATGACCAGCGTGTTCTTCCGCAGCCCGCCGTAGTAGAAGGACTGTGAGTCGGAGAAGTGGCGCCTGAGAGGGAGGGCAGAGTCATGCTCAAAAATGCAGAGTGAGTTTTGGTTGGTTTTGGGAGTATCTGTCTCTGCCAGGTAGTGCCGGTCCACGTAGGTGGCTGTGTAGGGGCAGTCCAGGCCCCGGATCAGCTCGTAGGCGAAGCGGCCGATGCCAAAGCTGCCGTCCAGGTAGCGGGTGGACATGCCCCCGGGGCAGTTGGAGCTGTACAGGGCTAAGGCTTCCTGGAGACTCAGCTCGTAGACAATCCTCTCCCCACGGTACCTGATGTCGAAGAGGCGCGGGCCCGTGTTGGGGTTCATGCCGAAGGCGATGCTCCAGCCCTGGAAGGTGACGCGGTTGTTCCTGACGCTGTAGCGGGGACCCTGCGGCTCAAACTGCAGCGGGCCCGGGGACCCGGGCGGGCGCCGGGGCTTCATTGAGCCCAGCACCGCCCCAGCCTGGGGCTGCTTCAGTCTGACCACCTCCAGCACACCGGCCACAAACTCCTGCTCCAGATCCCCCGTGCTGGCAAAGTACCGGCCACTGTAGAAGACTTTGTGCAGCTGCCACCGGGAGACCTGGAGGTCCCCGTGGTCCACCAGCACCTCCAGCCCCACTGGGGACAGGTAGTAGCCGGTGCCAGCCACGTTGTGGAAAAGAACAAACCAGGTCACGCGGTCACCGGACTTGAAGCCGCGTGGGGCTGTGGTGAGGGCGACCAGGTTGGTGCCGTCAGACTCGCAGCACGCGGCGAGGAAGCGTGGCGCCTTTTTCAGCTCCCTCTGAATGAGGGCGTTGATATCCGCGTACTCCTTGCCAGTGACGGGCCTGCGGTGGTAGGGCACCTTCCCCCCGTACTTCTGCACCGTCACGTCTCGGTGGTACGCCGGCCCCGGCAGCGGCCCCACCACGTACTCGCTGATGTTGGGCTCTGGCTGCTTCCCAAAGTACAGCACAGCCAGAGCCTCCCGGGGGGGACGAGCCCCGCCGCCGTCCAGGAACCGCAGCACCTCTGCCTTGGCGGGCACCTGCAGATCCACGGAGGCGATGCAGTTGTCCGAGGGTTTGGCACGGGAGGCGTCCACCAGCGGCACCCCGAGGTGTCCCTGCAGGTACCGCACCACCTGGGACATCTCCTCCGCTGTCAGGTCAGCAAACACCAGGCTCTGGCCGTCCTCGATGTCCTCCTGCTCTGGGGGCAGGTGCTGGCAGCTTCTGGGGGTCCTTTCTCTGGTCAGCAACACGCAGACCAAGGCGAAGATTGTGGCTAAGGCCAGACCAAGGAGGACGAGCACGGTTTTCAGGCTCATGCCTGCTGGGGCACTGAGCGCTCCCACAGTCTGGCAGGACACGTTTCCAGCTGTGGAATCCTCCCAGCCACTCACTAGAACAAGGGGCTGGGTTGGCTGGGGTTTATTTTCTTCCCCTGTTTCCTCAGCAGGGAACAGCTTGGAGGTACTCACAGGGAGGGTGCAAGGGGATGTTCTCACACACGTCAGGATTTGCTGGGAACTATAAAAGGCAACATTGCTCTGCTTCCCTAGAGGGCCATAATTTTAAGTAAACTCAATGTCTGTACATTTGTCCTTCCCCTCTGGTCTCAGATCCTACTCCCAGAGCTTGGAGTGGATGGATCCAGTCACGTAGGGGAAATAAGCACATTCTCCCTTCTCCTCCTTCTCTTAACCCCGCAGATACTGGACAGGCAGCAGTGGCTGTAGAGATAAACCTTCCCTGTGCAGAGCAGTGCACAGCACCACTGACACAGCCCTGCCATCACCAAGCAGCACTGACTGCTGCTGCCAACATCCCCATGGTCCTGCAGCCAGGAGAGAGGGGACAGCTGTTTGTCACCTTGCAAAGGTGCCCACTCATCCTGAGGTACAGCCTAGCACTGATGGGGCTGTGAGGAGAGGATCAGGGGCACCAGAGCCCAGCCAGCATCCTGGCAAACAGGCAGTGGCACTGGCCATGCTGCATCACCAGCAGCCATGAAAGGTGAAACCAGTAAAGCCATGAGACTCCTTCCCCTGCAAGGTCCTGTCCAGATCCTCCCCTTGTGCCCAGCACTGAGGGCCTGAGAGCCACAACCCACACAGTCCTGGCCATGACCCAGCCTCCCCCAAACGGCCACAGGGCTTGGTGCCAGTGCCCACCTCCACCCCAGCTTGTCCCTCCTGCCCTCCAGCTGGACATCCCTGTGCCCTGACAACACCCAGAGCCAGGCTGCTGGGCTGCTCTGTGGGCACAGCAAACACGGCAGAGACCAGCAGCACCCCCCAGGAGACGCTGCTGAAAGTTGTAAGAATGAGACACTTGAGAGCATTGGACCAGCACCATTTTCATTATTTTAACCTGAGATATGCACTACACAGCACTTGCTTCTACAGCAGAGGAACAGGATCCTCTCCTGACTTTCCTCTGGTAATAGACTCAAATTCAGGAATTAACAAATAACAGAGACTTCCATCTCACATCATACTAGGAAAATCATGTTTCCCTTTTTGAGAGCACTATTTCAAAAGCTGTGATAAAATGTGAAGTCACTGGACAACTGAAAATTGAGACAACTTCACTAAAAAGCTGAAAATCGGAGACAGAACAGTCAGCCTGGTGTCCATGACCACATCTCACCATCCTGTAGCATTAAAGCCTGCTCATATTTTGAAAACCATCATAGCTGAATGGGGGGAAGCTTGGCAAACAAGAGGCAGTTTTGGGCAAGCAGGCAAGAGGGTTGATTTTACATGCTGTAAAGTCCTGCTCGCTGGTGAAAAACACACCATCGTGGGAGTATATCGAGGGGTCCATGTCATAGTAGTTGTAGGGCCTCAGGAGAAAACCGACCGAGTTTCCCACAGTCACAGTGTTGGGAATATCCTCAGAGTGTGGAATGTGAAGGAAGCCAGCAGTTATCCAGGCAACCAGGTCCTAGGCAGGGAAGAGCCACAAGCCCAGAGTTACTTCAGAAGCTGCAGCAGCAGTGACCAAAATTCACGTGGGGCAGTGGGGAGTGACAGAAGGGAAGGAGGAGGACCTTGATGGGGGTGGATGGGCACTGGTCAGCTGCATTCCCACACACCAAGCCCCCCTCTCCTGGGAAAGAGCTCCTCCCTTCCCCAAAGACCTGCCACAGCCATGGCAGCAGATATCCACCCACTGGAAGGACCCTTGCCTTCACCTCCATGGCCTCACAGAGATTTTAATGACGTTTTGCCAGCATTTCTCCACAGGGAGAAACAAGCTTCTGCTCTGCACACACTCTCTATGTTCTCTGACCAAAGTACCAAGCAGACACACAGAGAAGGAGATGCTCAAACCCAATTTCCTCTTTCCTCTGGGCTGCTGCTCTCAAATCTGGGCCCATTGTCCCAGGGGTGGTGCTGGAGTCTCTCTGCTCCTTGGGGCTCCCGTTGAGCCTGGGCTGGGTGCTACATTCCATCCCAGGGACCCCAGCTTACCTCGTTGGTGATGGTCTCGTTGTTGATGAAGTCAGCAAAGGCCACAGTGGGCGTCCAGGGGTCATTCTGGTTGTAGATGCTGGTGCTGGTGGGCTCCTCCTCCTTCCTCCGGGTGACGGCCAGCTGGTACCTGAGGACAAGAAAAGAGAGGGGAGCAGCCCCCCGAGGCAGGGCAGAGCTAAATCAACTCCTGAAGGTCTGCAGAACACAGGCCTGCTCGGATGGAGCAAGCACAGAAGAGCGCTTCCCTGTGCCTCCCATCAAGGGACATCCAGCAATGCCTCTGCAGCTGGCAGGGCTGAGGGGGTCTCTGAGAACCTGCCACGCCAGCCAGAACAGCCTGACCTTGCCCAGCTGATGGCCCTCTCCATGGAACTGGCCTCGGGGATGTGGTCCCCTGCAAAGCTGCTGATCTGGATCCTGTAGCCGCGCTGGTGGCCCCACTTGTTTTTGCTGTTGGCAGCGAAGTAGATGTATCTGGGCATCTTGGAGTGGAGCCGGAAGGCAGCCTGGTCTTCTGTGTCCAGGACTTTCTTGGTGAGTCGTGGCCGCTCTATCTGCTGCTCTGGGCTCCAGGGAGCCCGTGTCATCTCAAACGCCATGTCATGGGCCACGAGGGAGTTTTTCACCCCTGCGAAGCCAAAACAAAGTCACTGAGGAGAGTCCCCACAGTGCCCTGTTCCCCAAGGACATCAGAGTGCCTGCTCCCCCTGTTCTCCCTCCCTGCACCCTGGGCTCTGAGCACCGACAGCAGCTCTGCAGCTCCACATGCCATGACAACACCCATGTGTGGAACTATGGCTGGACACTTGTCCAAGCTGGGCAGCACCACTCTGCAGCAGATGCTATGAGAGACAAGAGGGGAAAAGGGATGAGCCTCAGGCCAGGCAGAAGAACAGGTTTGTCTCCCATGCAAGCATAGTCTAATTAACTAGAGCAAGAGCTTTGGTACTGCTCATCCTGCACAGTGAGACACCTGAAACAGCCCAGTGCAGCACACATTTGCACATCACAGACAAGATCAGTGTTATGCTGTTCTCAGGCCCTGCCACAAATAAGAGACATGGGCCCAAGGTTTGGAGCAACAGGAGTGGCATGGGAGCAAATCAGTCTGGGGACAAGGTGGCAAAAAGCTGCTGAGAGCATTTGATGGCCAGTGCCTGTGCAGGTCTGGCAGAGGGGTTATTGCCCAGCACCTCCTGCCTGTCCCACCATGAAGCCCCTCTGTGTTCTGTTCCTTTAACATGTGAATTCTCAGATTTCATAAAAGCTATTTCAGAGCTGAACCTATGGCCATCTGTGAAGCCTTGAGCCTCACAGAAGAAGATCCATGCACAGCAGAGCTAATTTCCTTTCTTTTTCTCACATGAACTAAACTTCTAAGCCCACACCTCCCCTGCCAGTATAAACAGTGACAGTCTGATTTCATCTGCCTTCTCACTGTTCCTGCAGTTCTGCCACCCCCCACTGCAAGCACATCACCCTGCCCCACAAGTGGAAAGGAAAACCTATATAACCACCAAAAAAGGAAAGTACTTTGAATCTAAATTTATTTGGAGAGAACTTTTTAAAAAGGAGAGACAAGATCCAGACCTACCTCCAACATCCAAGTCCACCTTATAGTTGACAAAGTGGGTGTGTATGGTACCCAGGGTGTGCTCCCAAAGCCTATTGCCATATCTCAGGCCATCCCCGTGGAGAAAGGACGAGCTGGGGTAGCCCGTGGCCTGCACCTTGCCCTCCAGGGCCCCATTCTGGTAGAAGATGAAGTCCCAGACGTAGTCGTAGTTGCCCACGGTGACGATGGACCGAATGACCAGAGCGGAGTTGACCAGCCCCCCGTAGTAGAGCGCCTCCAAGTTGGAGTAGTGGCGCCTCAGAGGGGAGCCCAGGTTCTGCTCAAAGATGCAGAGCGAAGCCTTCCTCTTCTTGGGCCTCAGGCTGTCAGACAGAGAGTGTGTGTCCACGTAGGTGGCCAGGTAGGGGCAGTCCAGCCCTCGCACCAGGGGCGAGGCGTAGCGGCCCAGGCCGAAGCTGCCGTCCATGTAGCGCGTGGACATCCCTCCCGGGCAGTTGGAGCCGTACACGGACAGCGCCTCCTGCACACCGATCTCATAGGCAACCCTCTCCCCCTTGTGTCGGATGTCAAACAGCCGCAGGCCTGTGCTCACGCTCATCCCAAAGGCAAAGCTCCAGCCCTGGAACAGCACCTGGTTGTTCCTGACGCTGTAGCGGGGACCCTGCGGCTCCAACTGCACCGGGAACTGCGCCACCGCGGCCGCTCGGGGCCTCATGGACGAGAAGTCCCCGTCCCACGGCGCCTTCCTCACCTTCTCCACGCTGATCCGGCCCTGCACGTAGGCACTCTCCAGCTGCACCATGTCCCTGTAGTACTGCCCGTTGTAGAACACCCTGCTCACCGCCCACTGCGACATGTCCAGGCTGCTGTGGTCCACCAGCACCTCCAGCCCCACCGGGTGCACAAAGAACCCACTCACGTTCTGAAACAGGACAAACCAGGTCACCCGATCTCCAGACTTGAATCCATGAGGGACTGTGCTCTGAAATGCCACGTTGGTTCCGTCATACTCAAGGACTTCTTGCAGGAAGGTTGGTGCTGCAGCAAATGCCTTCGTCTCCAGGAACGCTCGCAGCTGCTCGTACTCGCTGCGCAGCGCCGGTCTGCGGTGGTAGGGCACCTTCCCCCCGTACTTCTGCACCGTCACGTCTCGGTGGTACGCCGGCCCCGGCAGCGGCCCCACCACGTACTCGCTGATGTTGGGCTCTGGCTGCTTCCCAAAGTACAGCACAGCCAGAGCCTCCCGGGGGGGACGAGCCCCGCCGCCGTCCAGGAACCGCAGCACCTCTGCCTTGGCGGGCACCTGCAGATCCACGGAGGCGATGCAGTTGTCCGAGGGTTTGGCACGGGAGGCGTCCACCAGCGGCACCCCGAGGTGTCCCTGCAGGTACCGCACCACCTGGGACATCTCCTCCGCTGTCAGGTCAGCAAACACCAGGCTCTGGCTCATGGATCCTGTCTTCTCCTCAGCCCTGGGCTGGGACTCACAGCTGGGTGATCGCCCACCCCTGCTCAGCAGCATGCAGGAGAGGATGAAGATTATCACTGCGGCCCCGACCAGGAGGACGTAGGGAAGTCTGGGGTTCATCACGCCGAGCACAGTGACAGCACTCAGTGCGGCTGAAGGATCCAGAGCACGTCCCTCACCTGCAGACCGGCTCTTTATTCATTTGCAACTGTGGGTGTAATGGCAACGCTTGTGAGGTGGGGAGGGAACTTGCAGGTCCCGTGGGTCTCTGAGAGGAGATCACAGGCCCCAGCCAGTTTGGCTTGTTTTCTCCCCACCCCAGATGCACCAAAGGAGCCAGCCTGGCAGCCAGTGCCTGGCTCATTCACCAGGCTACTGATGGGTCTCTCTGCTGCAAGGTGACACCACAAAGAGCCCCAGTCTCATCTGTCCCAGGGGCCTTTGTTTCTTTCATTGTCTCCCAGGATGCGCCACCTCTGTCTCCTCTTGGATCCACGGGGGAAGGCTCAGCCAGCCTGGTCCTTCTGCACCCAGTGCCCCCAGACCAGCCCCACTGCCCTGAGGGGCCAGTCTCTGCTGGCACAGCCCGAGACCTGCTGGCTCCCAGCATCTCTACATGCCAGTTCTTCCTGTCACCATTCTCTGGTGCCTCCAAGGCCTTCCCAGCCCTGAAGGAAGGGACCTGGCAGCTCCAGCCTGGTTCTGGCTGTGGGCAGACCAGAGGCAGCTCTGTGGTGAGAAAGGGCAGCACTTGCTGAACCACTCCTGTCCCACTCCAGCAGAGGTGATCTTTGCACAAAGCTGCCCTGGACAGAAATGCTGTGAGGCAGCTGCTCCTGCAGGGCCACCAGCTCCTGCAAGGCTCCCCCATGGCTCCTGGCCCCACGCAAGGCAGCGACACTCACCGACAGCAAGGATGGATTTTTGGAGATCAGGGCCCACCAAACAGGGTGGATTTTTGGAGATCAGGGCTCTCCTGCTGGGGAGAGTCTGAGGCACAGCCAGGAGGGGCCAGAACCACCACAGCACTGCTGCCATTTACTCCGTTTGCATTTGTGTTAATTTAGGAATTAGGTTTTCCTTCTCGCTTCCAACTAGGCAATAATTGCCCCTTTTCCCTGCAAGCCCCAGAGCAGCCTCAGATCAGGCTCCAAGAACCCGTGTGGGCAATGAGCCACTCTGGCTCTGGCCCAGCCGTGCCCCGGTGCTGGAGCTGCGGCTCCTGTGGGAGCTGCCCGAGCCCCCTGCATGGCCCCGAGCCCTCCTGCCTGAGCACAGCTCTCCTCTCACCACAGGAACAAGTCTGAGATTTACACAACTCTGCTCCAGAGTGCTTTACAGCACTCAGGGCTCAGGCTCTGTAAGCAGAGGGGCATTGAAGTCACAGAAAAGGGCCTTGTCCCCAAACAGGAGCTGTGTTTTAGCACATTCTCCAGCCTTGCTTGCAGGAGGGAACCACCATCAGCCCCGATTTTGACCGTAACAACAGCAGCAGCACCTTTCAAGGCCACACAAACCCCTCTATTGCAGGAGGACACATGCTGGGACCAAATTCTTGCTCTGGGGATAGCTGCAGCTTGACCAAGATAGCTCTGAGGTTACTTTCCACAAGCCAGGAGACAGCCAGGATCCCTGGGGCTGTGTTTCTCTTTGGGCTCGTTCAGACGTAGCCACTGCCCACCAGCGACCTCTTTGGTCCCGTGCAGATGTAAAACATTTTCCCTCTGCCTTTTACAGAGTTGGTTTTCAATAACAGGCACCGTGTGTGGCCCCACTGTCCCTGGACTGCAGGTGCTGCATCGCCTCCCGGGGGACTCAGAGGTGCCCCTGAGGCTGAGCATCCCTGCACTTCCAGGGGGGCTGGAGCACTTCACTGTGAGCGGGGGGCTGCTCTGGGTTCCAATAACGCTGTGCAGACATCCCGTGCCAGACTGGGACTTCACTACAGGAACTCGCTGGGTCGCTGTAGTGGCTTCTCAACTCCAGATCCAATGCCTGAGTGTTTCCTCAAGAGAAGAAGGGGAGAGACCCGCAGGGGCTCAGCCCCACGGAGCACCAGGACAGCTGCCCTGCTTTCCATGGGGCAGTGAGACCCAAGGAGGATTTTCCCAAGGGAGAAGGAGTGCCAGGAGCAGCAGCAGGCGCTGCGAAAGCAGCTCACTCTGTCTGTGCTCAGACAGGGCCACCTCCCTGTCTGCCTGCCCATGCCTATGGCAACACACACCGTGCCAGACGGGAGGCCTCAAGGAAACACAAACATTTTCCAGCCGCTACCTTTCATACTTTCCCTGAGCTGAACACAGAGCTCCCAGAAATTCCCACTGCTTTCCACTCAATGACCTTGACAGACTGTTTTATAAAGCGAAAAATAATTTTGCAATGCAAGAAGAGGTTAGGAGAATAAAGAAGCAGAGTTCTGATGTCAGTTATTAGCGGCTGTATGGACAAGGAGGCCAACCTCAAAGCTCTGGGGCTTATCAGAACAATGGCAGACATTAAAAGAAGATCCAGACCTACCTCCGACATCCAAGTCCACCTTATAGTTGACAAAGTGGGTGTGTATGGTACCCAGGGTGTGCTCCCAAAGCCTATTGCCATATCTCAGGCCATCCCCGTGGAGAAAGGAGGAGCTGGGGTAGCCCGTGGCCTGCACCTTGCCCTCCAGGGCCCCATTCTGGTAGAAGATGAAGTCCCAGACGTAGTCGTAGTTGCCCACGGTGACGATGGACCGAATGACCAGAGCAGAGTTGACCAGCCCCCCGTAGTAGAGCGCCTCCAAGTTGGAGTAGTGGCGCCTCAGAGGGGAGCCCAGGTTCTGCTCAAAGATGCAGAGCGAAGCCTTCCTCTTCTTGGGCCTCAGGCTGTCAGACAGAGAGTGTGTGTCCACGTAGGTGGCCAGGTAGGGGCAGTCCAGCCCTCGCACCAGGGGCGAGGCGTAGCGGCCCAGGCCGAAGCTGCCGTCCATGTAGCGCGTGGACATCCCTCCCGGGCAGTTGGAGCCGTACACGGACAGCGCCTCCTGCACACCGATCTCATAGGCAACCCTCTCCCCCTTGTGTCGGATGTCAAACAGCCGCAGGCCTGTGCTCACGCTCATGCCAAAGGCAAAGCTCCAGCCCTGGAACAGCACCTGGTTGTTCCTGACGCTGTAGCGGGGACCCTGCGGCTCAAACTGCACCGGGAACTGCGCCACCGCGGCCGCTCGGGGCCTCATGGACGAGAAGTCCCCGTCCCACGGCGCCTTCCTCACCTTCTCCACGCTGATCCGGCCCTGCACGTAGGCGCTCTCCAGCTGCACCATGTCCCTGTAGTACTGCCCGTTGTAGAACACCCTGCTCACCGCCCACTGCGACATGTCCAGGCTGCTGTGGTCCACCAGCACCTCCAGCCCCACCGGGTGCACAAAGAACCCACTCACGTTCTGAAACAGGACAAACCAGGTCACCCGATCTCCAGACTGGAATCCACGGGGAGCAGCTGTCACAACTGCAAGATTGGTTCCATCATACTCCATAACTTGCTGCATGAAAGCTGGAGCCGAGGGAAACACTTGGCTCTTCAGAAATCCTCCAATCTGCTTGTATTCAACAGCCAGTGTCGGTCTGCGGTGGTAGGGCACCTTCCCCCCGTACTTCTGCACCGTCACGTCTCGGTGGTACGCCGGCCCCGGCAGCGGCCCCACCACGTACTCGCTGATGTTGGGCTCTGGCTGCTTCCCAAAGTACAGCACAGCCAGAGCCTCCCGGGGGGGACGAGCCCCGCCGCCGTCCAGGAACCGCAGCACCTCTGCCTTGGCGGGCACCTGCAGATCCACGGAGGCGATGCAGTTGTCCGAGGGTTTGGCACGGGAGGCGTCCACCAGCGGCACCCCGAGGTGTCCCTGCAGGTACCGCACCACCTGGGACATCTCCTCTGCTGTCAGGTCAGCAAACACCAGGCTCTGGCTGTCCTCGATGTCCTCCTGCTCTGGGGGCAGGTGCTGGCAGCTTCTGGGGGTCCTTTCTCTGGTCAGCAACACGCAGACCAAGGCGAAGATTGTGGCTAAGGCCAGACCAAGGAGGACGAGCACGGTTTTCAAGTTCATGCCTGCAGCTGGTCCAGCAGTAGTCAGAGGCTTTCAGAGCAGCTTTCCAGCTCCTGCCCCTGTCAGTGTATGCTGCACTGGATGGATTAGCAGAGAAAGTACAAAAGACTGGGAGAGGCTAGGGGAGGAGATCTGAAACCCTTGGTGACCAGAAAGGGCAGCTCGCCTCTCAGCTGCAGCCTCTTCTGTCCTCCTTCACGGCAGTGCCCTGAAAGAACTTGTGGAGATGTAGGGTCAGTGACTCAGACAAGTTCCACATAATGCCGTTACTTTTTCAGTCCAGCCTGCTTTCCTGAGGCTGCCTGTAAAAACGGAGATTCTGCAGTCAGCCTGAGGTGGCCGTGACCACTGTGACGCTCTGACAAGCTGGGAATTGTTGCCACACTGTACAATTTCACCTCTTTAAACTCACCGATTTTCTTTGTTTATCAGGCTGCTTCCTTGTAAACATTCTCCTTGGCAACACCATTCCAAGCTTGGAGTTGCTTCTTATATAATTTTTTTCAGTCTTCTACATGGAAGCCTTTGCTGAAAACACATCCTTCTGTGTTGCAGCAGAAAAACTTTGGCAGGCATGGTGATGTAGCTCAGGATGAGAATCAGGCCCCAACGCGCTGTGAACAACCAACTCTTAGTTCCCACCTCAGAACAGCTGTGAGCCAATTGATCCCCAGCACTGCACTGCCACAGGATCATCCATCCAACCTTTGTCTCTGCCTCCAATTCACAAATAAACCGAGGTGCAGCTTCCAAGAGGTTCCCTCAAGGACAGTACCCTGAACCTGCACCTGGCAGCAGCCGAGGGCAGTGCCCGCTCTCAGTGCTGCCAAGCCACAGTGCCCAGGCTGGGCAGCCACAGCTGCTCTCTGCCAGCCCGAGGACAGTCCCTGCTGGCCTCACAGTGCTGCCCACAGGCACTGGCAGGGCAAGGCAGCCAGAAGGGCTCGGTGCTCCCTCCTGCCACGCAGCAGATGCTCGGGGTAGACGAGACGCACCACCCTGGCTACAGTCCCGGAGCTGGTGCTGAGTAGGACAAGGCATCCAAGAGAACCAGGCTGGAGATTCAACCCAAAATTTCCACTCCTGCTGCCAGCCTCACCTCACCTCACCCTCCTCTTCTCCTCTCCTTGCATCAGTTTCCTGATGGGCGACAGCACCCACCAGCCCCTGGTTCTCCCTGTGCAGCAGACCCTGCCTGGGGCTCAGCCCCTCTCTGTCCCCCGTGCTCAGACACCACGCTGGGAGGCAAAAGGCCACGTTGCCATGGGACACACTCCATTATCCTCACCACCACTGGCAGCCTGAGCCTTCTTCAGAGCAGGCTGCAGCTGTGAGGCCTGCGCCAGCACACAGGGCTGGCTCTGCCTCGCCTGCCACCACGCCAGGAGAGCCTCAGAGCCACAGCATTTGCTGCTCAGAGTCACAGTGCCAGCAAAGGGGCTCGCTGCAGCACAGACACAGCAGTGGGCAGGGACAGCACAGAGACAGAGCCATGGCTGCATGGACACAGCAGCCACAGGCAGCAGAAGTACCTGCTCTCATCAGCTCCCAGCAGCACGATCAAATGCCTCTGAGTAACCCCAAACATGGCAAAGCAGCACTGATTTTTAAGTCAGTCTTTCAATCCATGAAGTCAGCGAGGCTTCAAGGATAACCTGGGGTTAGGCTTGGAAGAAAAATTCCCTTTTGGTTTTGGCCTGGAACATGGTGCTCATTTCACTTGGAGCACACAGCAGCAGCACTGCTGTCCTGCTGCAGGTTTGGAGCACAGAGCAGCAGCGCTGCTGTCCTGCTGCAGGTTTGGTACAGCCAGGACCTGCCTGCTGCCTCCCAGGAATGGGACAATGTTTCTGCTGCCACACACACCAGCACAGCCAAGGTGAGACTGCAGCAGAACCTCCATGGCTGCACAACAAAGCTCACGTGGACCTTTCCTTCGAGAAGAGCACAAAGAGATCGTTCAGGTTTGACTTTGCCCCTTGGGTTTGCATCTCCAGTTCCTGAAAGCCACGGCACAGGCTGCAATTACAGAAGGGCCCTTTTCAAGCAGCACAGCAGTAGTTTAGGAAAACTCCACAGGCCTTCCTGCCCCACAAATCACAACTCAACCCTGCAGCTGGGCTGAGAGAGATCCAGAAATAGACTGTGGGAACACTCCTGGTTCTCTGCATGTTGGGGGCTTGGAAAGGAGAAACCCTAATCTGTACTGACATCCCCATGACAAACCAACCGCAGCACACACCCCAGGGCTGCTGGATAGGGATGGCAGCTTTCTGCACTGCCTCTGCCCCACTGCAGAGCCTGTGCCATGGAGGCCTTGTCTGATACCAGGTTTTTTAGTACTGTCTGTTTCTCCTGGACTTTTCTAGCTCTGGTTTAGAGCTCTGTTTCAGAATAAACAAAACAACCCTAAATCCACCTTCATCTTGCAGTAGGAATTCCAGGAAGCAGAGTAATTAACTAAGTCTGCAGAGCCAGAACCTGTGTCAATAGCTGCCTGATGAAAAGCAATGAGGGATCTTTGGGGGCCACACACACCATGGGATTGCTCATGTACTCTCTCCAAAAGGAGCCTGCAGCAGCTTAAAGCTAACCTAGAATTAAAGAAATTGCACGTCTCCCTAACAGCAGCATAACTTGTTATTGACCTGCCAGTGCACGTACTGCTTCCCACATGCCAGGCCCCAGTGTGATCAGCCCATCACTGACCCACATCCCATATGGAGAACTCACATCCTACCCATGTTTTATTTTGGCTACGTGGTTGCTTTTAGGCACTGCCCATCTTGTATTTGCTAAATTGCCCACATTCCCAAACATAGCAGGGGAGTTGGGAGTGCTGTTTTCCACGCACACAGAAAGGTAGAGGTGGGAAAAAATAGCATCTGAAATTTACTGAAACCCAAACCAGACGCAGACAGGTTCTGGCTTGGGGAAACTCGGAGACAGTAACTCTGACAGCTGGAGAAAGGGCACAGGAGGAAAACCCCTGCCAACACTCCTGAACACAAGGACTGAGCAAGCCCCAGAGCCCAGACTTTAGAGAGCTCCCACTCCTCACCTCATGGGGTCAGCTTATGCAAAGCACAACAGTGGGACCTGCCTGACCCTTCCTCCTTTCCAGCTGTGCTGCTGGCAGTGCCTGTGCCTGCACACAGCTGCTCAGCCATTCTTCTCCTCCCCTGCACTTAAGCTGGGATGACTCAAGGGCTGGTGAAGCGGAGCCCTGACTGCAGACTGCAACTGCTCCCAGAAAAGAAACCCTCCCGTGCTCCCACAGATGAACCTGCCAAGACAATTGTCCTGGATGCTCCATCTCCCATGGGAGTGCTGGCATTGGCTCCCTGGGAATTTAGGTTTTCTGACTGTGGTGAGGAGCCCCTCATGCTGCACCACACCAAGTCCTGCCAGCAAGTCCTTCCTTTGGGCTCTGCTCCAGCTGCCTTGGCCCTGAGGTCTGTTTGCAGCTCAGTGCCCCCTCCCTGCCTGGGCCAGGCACCTGCAGGGCTTTCCCACAGCGCAGGAACTTCCCTGCACAAGTGGCTGCAGGAGCTGCTCCCAGGGCCAGGGACAGGCTCTGCTGGCAGCAGCGTGACCAGGACAGGCACAACCCCAAACAGGCACCGGGCCCGGGAGCAGGGCCTGCCTCTGAGGGGCTGCAGCCCTGCAGCTGGGGGCAGGACACTCAGGAAAACCTCGAGTGTCCCTTGAGAGGCCTCTGTGTCCCAGCGTGCAGGGAAGGCAGGAACAGGATGATCCCCAAAGAGCAGAGGGCACTGTGGCTGGGGACAGCAGGGCAGCTGCCTCTCCTTGGGTACCACACACAGGGAGCAGCCAGGAGCAAGAGATGTGTGCCCCACAGACACAGTGACACCTGCTTGGCAGAGAAACCCTGGAGCAACTGCAGGCTCAGAGAAACACCACATCTGTTCCAACTGGGACAGCCCAAGCCCCACACTGGGCTGAGATGGGACAGATTGCATCAAACCCAAGCCCATGGGCAAAGTCATGCCCAGTGTGAGGCATGCTGATGGAACAGAAACAACCTACCCATCAGACTGGTTTATAACAAAGAGGAATGAGGAGAATGAAGGGAAGGAGTAACTGAATGTGAGAAAGGCAGAGCCAGAACTGGACATTAAAACTGCATGGCCTAAGAGCCCAGCATCACACACAGGGGGCTGCCTTGAAAGAATTCCAAGTACCTTATTTTAATTTCTTGACATGGTAAAAGTTTACATACGTTCATCTCGCAAAGAAAGCTGAACAAATTAAAAGGAATCAATACAAAGAAACACAAGGGGAAGTGCTGCTCCCAGACAGCAGCTCAACGCAGTTGGTTTGTTACTGAATATTTATTAGCGGGAAGACTAAGAGTTGACTTACTACAAACAACAACAAAAGAGTCTATAGCAAGGGCCAGCAGCCCGCCACACTCTGGGCAAATCCCTGGGAAACCAGCAAGAGACAACATGGCTCTTAGATGTGGAAGCAGAGGGAAAAAAAAAAAAAAAACTAAAAACAAAGTAAAATAAAAAAATAAGGGAAGAAAGTTCATTCCATTTGTCACTGTTGTTACAATGAGATTAACACAACTCTTAAGGCTACTGCACAATAAGAATATACAGGTGTAACAGCGAGACCTGGGAAACAGCGAGGTTCCTGAAACAAATGATTTAACGTTCCCTGATTAGGGGACTTAAGTAGAAATACTATAAATAAGAAAAAGTTGAAGCCTGCAGCGTTATGGGCCCACTTGCCACACACAAAAACTGACGCAATACAACCAGTCATTTCCAAAGGGGTTTGTAATGGACCACGAAATGTTCTGGCAGCTTAGAGGAGTCACGAGGCACAGGAGTGTGCCCTTTGCAGGGGAAAGACTGCAAGGTCTGCAAGGTACCAGGTGGGTATCAGCCACCCTCACCGTCAAGCACCAGCTGTGGCAGCCAGCCTGCTCTGCCCAGGCACCAGGGAGCACTGCCAGGGACAGGGGGACTCAGTCTGATCACATGCAGAGATATTTTAGGACTTTAGCATCAGATCTCCAGCCCCTCCCTTCCCTCAGCCCAGGCAAAGCAACCCATGCTGAAGGGGCAACTGGGATGTGAAAGAACATTTGATTTAGCCAAGAAAATGGCTCTAGTCAAATGGCAGAAGCCACCTGAGCTCCTAACAGCCAGGGCAGCACCAGCATTTGCCTCATGCTCTGCACTGATCCAGACAGAACTGGCGAGGCAGAGACCTGTGGGGCAGGCTCTGCTGAGCTAGGAGAGAGCCAGAAAGGGAGTGCAGATGGCTCAGTGGCACCAGAGCACAGCTGCCAAGGGGCAGGGTCCCTGGTCAGTGCAGAGCTGGTGGCAGAGGGGTCTGGCCACAGCCAGCAGTGGGGACAGAGCTTCCCTGCTGTGTCACTGCCAGGCTGCCCTTGTGCTGGGCTGTTTGCCCTGTCCCAGAAACCCCAGTGCAGCCACCAGACAAGAGATGGGACAGGACAAGGGCTTGGTCTATAGTGTTGTTCCCACTCAGGTAGGAAGCAAGGCATGAAGGAATGTCCCTGCCTGGCTGCAGCGGCCTCTGGGGCGTCCAGTGCAGCATGGCCTCTACTACCAGTGACTAGAGGAAGAGGGAGAGCTCCTGAGACCTGAACAAAACCAATCACAAAACTAGGCAAGAATTTCTTTAAAGTTTAACTAAGAATGCAATACTATTTCCAGCCAGTTTCCCATCTCGATAGTCACGTAACAAACCAAGGCAATGACGGTCTTTAGTTGACTGAACAGTTCTCAAGTTCAAACGTTGACACTTAATAGAGGGTCTCAGCATTGCTGCTCCGAGGCCTCTTGATCTTCTCAATGTTTTTAAGGATCATGTCATGCAAAGTGACCTGCAAGAAGGAAGAACAGGACTCAGACAGGAAACCAGCCATTCACCTTGCACCATAAGCACTGGTTACCACAGCAGCACCACTCCCCTTGGCACCACCCTCAACCCTTGTGTGCAACCACACACCTGGTTAAGGTAAGGCTTCCTTCAGCCACCCCTTACAGAAGCCAGTACAGAGAATACCAAAAACATTGATTCAGAAACCCCAGGGCTGGCTTGTACTGTATGAAGAGCTTAGGATCAGATTCCCACAGAGGGGGCACGAATATTTAGCACTAGGGCCTGTGAACACAGCTGGAAACATCTGCCCCTCTAGGAGATGGTGGAGAGCACTTCACTGGAGCCGAAGTGGGAAGCAGGCAGTCCTCCTCCAGGAGTGGCCATGCTCAGGGGGAAAGGGAAGAGGAGCAGCAGCAGGAGCACAGTGTGAGCTGTGTGTTTGCACTCACATATTGATTTCTCAGCTCTGAAATGATGAGGCGCAGGCTAATGTACTCCTTCTCGTCGATCTCGGTCACGGTGCGGCGATAGTCCTCCTGCCGGGGCACACACGGCTCAGCCCAGCTCCCACCCCGCCCTCCACAAAGCCCCAGTCCTGGTCTCATCCCCCCTCTTCCCCCAGGACCCTCAGCTCAGAAAGGACAGTGACAACGCAGCTCAAAGAGTCCCAAGAAGCAGCAGCAGCACCAACATGCAAATCTCCATGTCCCTGCTGACTTACCACATGAGGGTACTTGGCTATCTTGGAAACCAACTTTGCTCTTGTGATATAGTATCTGGCAGGAAAAGAGAGAGATTGAAGCTCAGATAAACAGCACCACGATTATTTTCAGTTCCAAGCTGCCCTGTAACAACAGCTGGGGGACTCTTCCCTAACAAATTCTTCTTCCAATCTGATCCCAAAAAAGAAGTCTGCTCTTGCATGCCTACCTAGAAATCTGGTCCAGGTAAGATGCTGCCTCGCTCTCCACAGTCCGAAGCTCAGCAACTGTTTCTTCCTGCAGGGGAGACAAGGAAGCTGTTAGGCTGCAGCTGGCCTTCTGGGCTTGGGAAGCACCCCATCAAGTTCAGGTTTGAGTTTTAAAATCTAAGCCAACCCCATGACTGCAGCTGCTGGACACCATGAACAGAAAGATTCAGAGGAACCCCAGAGATCCATGTCCCTGGAGCACAGAGAAGTGCCTTACCTGAATAGAAACACCAAAGTTGTTCCCATCCTCTATCCTGGGAATGAGAAGCTGCACCCACATTTTGACCTGCAGTGGAGAGATCACAGCACTGACCAATGCCAACATCTGCACAAAGGCCTCTCTCAGGAATGCCAACAAAAGCTCCCAGGACCCTGCCTGTGCAACACAGCTCATGATCAACTGCTGCAGGTCCCTTATGCACCTGGAACACTTCCAAGATCACTTCCCACATGGCAGGGATGCCAAGCAAGCCAGCACAGGCCCAGCTTCCCATGGAAAGCTCTCCTCACCCTGGAAGGTGTCTGTGCCTTGGCAAAAGAAGGGCAAAGCAAAGCCTCGGGGCCTGATAACAGACATCCTTCTCCTTCAGGTGAACCACGGAGCTCCCCAAAGGCTTCACCTGCCTCCCAGCCCCTGTCAGACAGGACAAAGCCCTGCCTTTCCTCCTCTACAGCACAGAGGGACCTGCTCCTTCCACAGCTCCACCTCTCCAGGAGCAAAACCACCCCTCTGCCTCCCCTTGACTCCCGGCTCACACCCACCGTATTGCACTTCTCAATGAGCAGCCTGATCTCTGGTTTCACTTTCTCAATGATGTCCACCAGCTGCTGGTTGCTCTTCAGCATCCCATTGGGCATCACAAACACTTTGGTACCTGTGGCAGAGACAAACCCCAGCGTCAGGGACTCGCAGGAGCAGCTGCACCAGGGTCGGACTGAGGGGCCACCTGAGCCTCACTCATCTCCCACCAAGGCCAGAAAGGGACTGAGCCAGGCTATGGGCACCTGTAGGGAAGGGGAAAGGGACACGGGACACGCAGTGACCACAAGGGAAGGAAAAGAGAAAACACAGAGCAGGATGAGACTGAAGAGCTCGAGGATGCTGAGCACAAAGGGTTTTCCTGGTGCACCCGTACGAGAAGTTTCTGTCTCAGCTTAATGCAAAGCCTGGAATCTTCTTCCAGACAAAGAGAGGAACTGCACAGAGCCACCAGGAGATCAGCTGCCTCTGTCAGCAGGCCAAGATCCAGCCAAGTACTACTTATGTCTATCAGAGAAGTACTAATTATGCTTCTAAGAGCTGGAACCTGACTCCTCCACATCAAAACATCCGTAGGTCAGGCTCTGGCCTGTGTGAGCAGCAGCTGCTGGCAGGGCAGGGCAAGTGGGGCTTGCACAACTTGCATCTCCAAGGCTCAGTGCAGCAGTTCAGGGGGCAGGCAGCAATACAAAGGACTCGGGGATTCTTACCCTGAAAGGTCTCTTCATGGTCTTCCAGCTTCCTCTTTTTCATATTTGGCTAAAATATACAAAATGTTTTACTCACAAACTAGTCATAAGCTGTAGAAGTGTTGCAAAGGAAAAAAAAAGGAAAACTTAGAGTCCTGCCATGTTCCTGGCTTCTAAGCACTCTTCCTTAAATCCCAGGAAGAGCTGCAGAGCAGTGTTACCTCCAGCAGACTTCCCAGGCTTGAGAGATCAATCTCTAAAAGCCTCTGGGCCAAGGCCTGTTATTAAATAAGAATATCCTAGCCCAGCACAGAGCAAACCATGCAGCTTGAACAGAAGCTGGGATCACAGCCAAGAGAGTAACCTTACCCCATCCAGTCCATCATGGCTGTTGGTGAGAAGAATTGGGTCAGGCACTGGGAGGTTCATGTCCGAATGGATCTGAGTAAGATCATGAATATTCAGGATGGGTTCCTGCAAAGTAAAGCACATTTGTTACTTGATCGTGAACTAATAAATTCTGTCACACCAAACACAGTAAGACAAAAGATCTGAGCCTCCATCTTGTCCAAAATTAGGCTGAATGAAGATAAAAGGTCTGGCAACAGGCTGTGGACACCCCACCCGGGAGTGGCAGGCCATGGTGTCCCTGTGAGAGCCCAGCACTGCCAGGGACAGCCCACTGGGGAGAAAAATAACGTGAGAGATGACACAAAGCAAACTGCAGAAGGCAGCACCCCTCCAGAGCCAACAGCACTGCAGTGCAGGTGAGCCACGAGCTGCTGCCTTGTGTCTCTGCACCAAGGTGAAATGCACAGAAAGCAGCCCTGGAGAGATCTGCCACAACACTTTCAAACGCAGCTGAAAGTGCACAAGGATACAGAGCACAGGGCACACCCTACCTTAAGGAATCCATCCAGTTCTAACAGCTTCTTTGGGAAAAAGTTTGCTACGAGGTCTTCTGCCTACGAAAGAAAGAACAAACAGTGATGTGGAAGAAGGCCACGTGGCTCCCACCAGCAGGCAAGAACACCGGGGAAATCATCTGTGCACAAGCAGGAAACAGAGAGAACACGAGTTCTTCCTGCTGCCAACCCCAAACAAAGCCCAGGGGAGAAGAAAGCCACGAGGCTCCGGAGTCTCACTGCAGTGGGTGACTGATGGGGCATCAGCTGGGTGTTGCTGGGTGTTGCAAAGCTTCCAGGGCAGGCTCAGCACACAATCGAGTGTGCCAGAAAGATAAGGCCAAAAAACCTCTCTGCTGCTCGACCCGTGGCACTCACCTCACTCGTGATCCGCTCCCTGAAGGAGTCAACCTGCAGAATGAAACGGGGACAGGTCAGGGTCGCTCTCGCACAGCGCCGAGTCCCGCACGACCCTCCCACACAGCTCCGGCTCTCCCGGGGGAGCGGGAGGAGCCGCCAATACCGAGCGGGAGCTGCGCGGAGCGGATCCGGGCCCCGCGGGGAGCAGGAAGCCGCGCAGCCCCGGCGGGAGGCGCGATCCGCGATCCGCGGGGCGGCCCCGCTGTGCCGGGCTGGGCTCGGGGGCGGCCGCAGCCAGCGCCGGCCGCATCCCCGCCCCCCCGGCGCTGCGGGGCCGGGCGGGGGTGGAGACACCGGGGGCTCGTCGGGGCGGGCGGGCCGCGCTCGGTGGCCAGGGTGGAACGGCCGGGAGGCACCGCGGGGCGGCCCCAAGCCCGCCCCGCCCCGGGCCGGCGCCCGCAGAGCCCGGCGCGGGCCGGCGGGGCGGAGGCGGCCGCCGAGCGGGGCCGGAGCGGGGGCGAGCGGGGCGGGGCGGGCGCACCTTGAGCTTCACCTCCGGGTCCACCTTGAGCAGCGAGGCCATGGCGGGTCCGGTCTCGGGGCCGCTCCGCTTCCCCGGGGCCCGCACCGGAAATGACCTCACGCCGCGCGCCCGCCAATGCCGCGCGCGCGCGCCCGCCGCCCGCGAGCCGCGCACGCGCCGCCGGGTCCTGGCAGCTGAGCGCCGCCCGGGGCGGGGACGCGGCAGCGGCGCGGGCGGCCCCGCGCGGCCCTGCCAGGACCGCGCCCCGCGCGCCGCGCGTCACGTCCGGCGCGCGGCGATGGCGGGGCGCGCGCGCGCGGCGCGATGGAGGCAGCGCGGGCGGCGGGCGGCGGCACCGCGCACGTCAGCTTCGTGTGCCAGCGCTGCTGCCAGCCGCTCAAGCTCGACACCTCCTTCAAGGTGCTCGACCGCCTCACCATCCAGGAGCTCACCGGTACCGCCGGGGTGGGGTGGGGGGCCGGGCGGGGGCACGGGCCTAGGCCTGGGCCCGCCTGACGCCTTCTCTCGCACAGCCCCGCTGGTGAGCGCCGCCCCCGCCAGGCCCGGCGACCCGCACGAAGAGGAGAGCGCCCTGACCGAGGTACGGCCGCGCCGGGGCGCCGGGCAGCTCCCCCGGGCCTGCCGGTAACGATGTTGTTTCCTCGCCGCCAGGAAGCCTTCGTGGAGCACCGGCAGGATGGCGTGTCCCGGAGGTTCATCCCGCCCGCCAGGTACAGCCGCTGCCCGGCTTCCCCCTCCGGGCAGCTTGTGCTGCGCTGTGTCAGCGCCTCGGAAATGTCCCCCCGTGGGGAAAGGTCACACTGAATAGCTCCTCTGAGCCCCTAGAGTTTCCCCTGCAGATCCCCAGGACCCTCGGGCTCCTTGGCAGTGCGAACACAGAACTGCAGAGTCCTCGGGGCACTGTGGGCCAGCCCAGACCTGACAGAGCCCCTAAAACCCGGCTTACCCCAGCCTCCTGCCCTCCCTTTTCCCTGAGCCAGCCCCAGATTGTGGTGTGGCGCTCAAGCTGCCTCCCCTCAGCACTTGGCACTCATGTCACTAACGTTCTCTCCAAGAATGATGTCAACAGAAAGTGCCAACAGCTTCACGCTGATCGGAGAGGCCTCGGATGGCGGCACCATGGAGAACCTCAGCCGGAGACTGAAGGCAAGTGGGTCACGAGCTGGCAAACTCAGGTCCTTGGGGACAGAGCATCAGCTTTTCCTGATGCTCTGCAAAACTAAACTGCAAAGTTTCCTACAGCATTTGCCTGCCAGGGGCTTGGTTGGTGAGTAGTTGAGCAGAGATAAATTGTTTCAATCAGTATTTGGCCTGCCAAGAAGATTCTTGCTAGCTGAAGCTGCTGAGCAGCAGCAGGCAGCTGCATGTGGGTTCACTTGTGCTAATGTGAGCCCTTCCTGCAGGTCACTGGCGACCTCTTTGACATCATGTCTGGGCAGACAGATGTGGATCACCCGCTGTGTGAGGAGTGCACGGACACTCTGCTGGACCAGCTGGACACACAGCTCAACATCACGGAGAACGAGTGCCAGAACTACAAGTGAGTGATCACAGTGACCCACGGCAGAGCTGCTGTAGCTCGAGGCACAATCTGGGGAGAGCTGGGGGTTGACAAGAGCTGCAGGGGCTGCCACAGAACTGGGGACTGGCAGTGCAGCACTTCTTCTGCTAATCCTGTTGTTCTCCTCTAGGAGATGTCTGGAGATACTGGAACAGATGAATGAGGATGATAAAGAGAAGCTGCAGACAGAACTAAAGGAACTGGCACTGGAGGAAGAGCAGCTGATTCAGGAGCTGGAGGATGTTGAGAAGAACCGCAAGATTGTGGCTGAGGACTTCGAGAGAGTCAGGGCAGAGGCTGAGAGGCTGGAGCAGGAGGAGGCTCAGTGAGTGAGCTGCACCTGCAGCTGTGGCAGGGCTTGGAGGAGTAGATAAATGAGGAACATGTAGATGGTAACATGACAAACCTGTAAATGTGCCCAAATTCCAGTGTATTTTGGTATATCCTGCTCTGTGCAGAAGAAAAGGTGGCAAAACCAAACTGGCCTGCAGAGCTGTCACTCTGAGGTAGAAGCCAGCACTCAGCGCTTCTTGTCTTGTTTCTGCTCAAAGGTATCAGAAGGAATACTGTGAGTTCAAGAGGCAGCAGCTGGAGCTGGATGATGAGCTGAAAAGTGTGGACAACCAAATGCGCTATGCCCAGATGCAGTTGGATAAATTAAAGAAAACCAACGTGTTCAATGCAACCTTTCACATCTGGTAACGTAGACACTGGAATATTTTATCCATTTTCTTGGAATCTGCAGTGTGGAGCTGTTTAAGTCACTGCATTTGACAGGAAAGGTGCAAGCCAGCTCACAATTATCTCCCAGCAAAGCAATGAATGCCACCTCTCAGGGGTGGCAGCTGGGTAAAGTATGCCAGGCTGTGGGCAATGGTTCCCTCAGCAGCCCCAGTAACACTTTGGGAACCCCTGTGCCAGCCAGCAGTGACACTGGCATTAGGGTTCACAGAGCAGGCAGCTAGAAGAGTCTGGCTAGGGGTTTCTGTTGTGTTTTTATGACAAAAAGAGAACAAATGTTTGGTATGTACAGACACTTGTTAAAGAATAGCCCCAAACTCTCCGTGTGCTTGGCTGGCACCGTGTCCCCTGTGCTGTTGGGACACAGCCCCTATTTGCTTATCAGGCCAGGAGCTTTTCCCAGCCTAGCACACTTATTTATAATTCTTATCACAGGCACAGTGGGCAGTTTGGCACAATAAATAACTTCAGGCTTGGCCGCCTCCCCAGCGTTCCTGTGGAATGGAACGAGATCAACGCTGCCTGGGGGCAGACTGTGCTGCTGCTGCATGCCCTGGCCAACAAAATGGGCCTGAAGTTTCAGAGGTACCTGCAACACCTCACACAGCTCATTTGTGACCCAGAGGAAGACAGGCAGACTCAGGTGCCTGTGAATTATGTCTTTTTTTCAGATACCGCCTTGTCCCCTATGGCAACCACTCCTATTTGGAGTCCCTCACGGACAAATCCAAGGTAAGAGATCCCAGACAGATCATGGGACATTGACCTTGAGTGCCAGAGCCCTGGGCACGCTGGGGATGCAGGAAACAAAATCTACAGGAAGCAAAACTCTGTGGATGTGGAGTCCAGGAAAGGTGGCTGCCCCCACTCCTCCAACATGTCACATCTCACATCCTGCACGAAGCCACTGGTGCTGCCAGCCAGCAGTGTTAAAAGTGACAGAGCTGTTGAATGGCACACCTGGCCAGCGGCAGAGGCATGTTTTGGAGTGATTTGCAGGTAGATGGCCTGATTTGGGATTGGTGGCAGTCAGGAACATGTGCCTGCACATGGTAGGCACTTGCACAATACCAGCCACACTTGCCCTGTGCCACAAGCCATTTCTCAGCATGCCATGACAAATTTAAGCCTCACATGAAGCTAAAAAGCTGCAGTGACCATATCAAAAACAAGTGCTTGGGGTGCCTGATAAAAATCTCTTTCCCAGGAGCTTCCCCTGTACTGCTCTGGAGGCTTGAGGTTCTTCTGGGACAACAAGTTTGATCACGCCATGGTGGCATTCCTGGACTGTGTGCAACAGTTTAAAGAGGAAGTGGAAAAAGGTGAAACTCGGTTTTGTTTGCCTTACAGGTAAGTGTTGCCACAAAACTGTCAAATTCAGCCCTGTATGCTCCCCCCTAGCACTGCTTGCTGTTTCAGATTTTTCAGAAATCATACAGAATTCTTATTGATGTGTGTTTGCTAGTTACAATGAAACTTTAAGCCAGCCCCTTGGGTGGAGCCCTGGGGCTTGCTCAAGTCCCTTTAAAATCAGGATAATGTTACTGTCAGAATTAAAATTTAGTGCTTGGTGTCATACTGAGATTAAATTTGCAGTAGGAATACACTAATTAAAGCTTGTGTGTGATACAGGATGGACGTGGAGAAAGGAAAGATTGAAGACACAGGTGGCAGTGGTGGCTCTTATTCAATTAAAACACAATTTAACTCTGAAGAGCAGTGGACAAAAGCACTAAAATTCATGTTAACTAACCTGAAATGGGGCCTTGCCTGGGTCTCATCCCAATTCTATAACAAGTAACTGTGATCAGAACTTGGCCTGGCTGTGGAGTGTCTGCATTGTGTTGGAGAAAGGCAAATCAAGATGTCTCTTAATATTAACCAGTACAAAATGTTTACAATACCAAAAATCCACAAGACACTTTATTTTAAATGCCATTATTGCAAGTAGTTTATAGAAAAGCAATATGCAAAGTTGTATCATTGAGTTGAACAGAATAAAACCCAGCTATTAAATGGATTCTAAAATGTTATTTTTGGGATTTATGGCCATGCATGTAAATAATTGTCAAACTTCAGAACACCCATCAGTTTGATGCTGCTCTGTTACAGCTAAAGCAAGCTTGGAAAAGCAGGGCATTACAAACACAGGGAATGATGTGGGAAAACCGCCAGAACTCTGCCTGGTCATTAAAGAGTGACTACACTTTAAAATAAAATATTTTCTAAGTCACACCAGCACTTCTTTGTGCTGCTGCACTTAGCAAGGTTTGATACCATGACAGCAGTGTAATCCCTCCTGCAGCCTGTTCCTGCACAGGGCTGTGCTGAGGGAAAATGAAATTACTCCACGCTCCAGGTGTTTGCAGCCAGCAGTTCCTGGCACTCACAGGGACACCCAGCCTGGGCACTGCTGTGGTGACAGTCACAGAGGGGAAAATCTGTGGTGCTGGCACAGAGGGGACAATCACAGGCAGCTGAGACAGGGGTTTTGCAAAAGCAGCACCAGGAGACAGAGCAGCCCCGTTTGTGAGAGCTGGCCCAGCCAAGCACCAGGCACGGCAGCACCTTCCAAACACAGCTACGCTGAGGGGTCTCTTTGGCTAAAGGGAACTTAGATTCAAAACTTAAAAGATGCAGCTTTTACAATAAAGCTTTTAGGGCATTTCTAAACACAATGGTGCTGTTGGGCCTCCTTTTTGAGCATGAATGTGATGCCTGGCAGGACAAGCTTTGCTAATTAACACGAGACTGATGGGCTGTTCCAGAATTCAGGTAACCCCGAGCTGTGCTGGGTGCCTGGG